CAGGCTGATGTCATTAGCCCAGGAAAACAAATTCGTTTTCCTCTTATAGACACACAGGTCTCTTTTTTTTAAAAAAATAATCTTAAAACTAAAAAATGAAGCTAGTGATATACAAACAAGGCAGGAAATGTAAGTGGTACCACAGCTGATAGCTGCGGCGCTAGAAAAAAATCTCCTGGTAAGTCTTTGCCCCTCAGGCCAGTGCCAAGGAGCTCACCAAAAAATAAAGCTCTGAAGTTACAACTGCTAAAACTACCCATAGTAGAGCGAAAATTTTAAGATTAGCGTCCAGCATGTCCAAGATTTGCCTCACAGGAAACAGTCCAAACACCAACAACTGACCTGCTGCATAAGGCACGCACTGGAGAGGGGAGGAAACCCATTTTCCAGCCGATTCTACTCCAAACTTCCCAGCCTTCCCCGCCCGGAGCCGTCAGCGCAATCCCAAACAACTGCGCGCCCGCGGAGCTCACAAACACCTTGGCACGTTTACCAGGTCGGGTTCGGCGTGTCCTTCGGATCCATCACAACCCGGCTCAGGAACCAGCTCCCAGTGGTCACTGGGACGTGTATCCCAGACATCCACGCCAGGACACTGCTGGTGCTTGGGGTCTCGCCAAGGCTCAGAAAACAAGTCTTTTTATAAAAAAAAAATCAGGTCTAACCTATGTAACGATTCTAAAAGCCCGTCCTCTTAGAGTGCAATACATCTGAACGCATCTAAAAGCTTCTGCTACTGTTGGCATGTCCCACAGGTGTTTCCTTTTTCTGTCCTTGGAAGTTTTTCAAGACCCTCATGAACCCTAAAACCCGCTCTGCGTGCGGCTGGGGGAGACCTCCCGGGGTCAGTTCTGTTCAGACTAAAAAAAAAAACCAACCATATGATATCAAGAATTTACCTAAACATCACCTCAGTTTCCCTGCACATCAGTCACTAGCGTGTTTTTATGTTACAAAAGGGCAGTGCCCAACTTGTTATACCCTAAACTCACCCAGTACGTCTCGCGTCAGGCACGAGCTCCAGTGCTGGTTAGTACAGGCCAGACACCGCGGAGAGGACAGTCTGCTGGACGGGGCTGCTCCTGAACGGCCTCATCGTCCCAAAATATCAAGAAACATGTTCCTGTTGCTTTGACTTTTGAGGAAAGATGCACTATTCAACCAAAAAACCCAAATTCTGATCTCTGGAAAAGCGTCTTAAGTTTTCATTAAAAAACCCAAACCTTTAGAATACATTAGTAACAGAAACTATAAAAAAACCACTACACGGACATGTACAAAAACCCCTGAGGGTCGCTAAATCCCAGTCACTCCGTAACAAGAGAGCCGACGTCGGAGGAGCCGGGTGCTGTACCAACAGCGCGGCCGGCGGAAACCCGGGGCGCGTTGGTTGGGGTTTTTTGAAGCGTCGTTTGTTGTTTTCAATGCACTAAGGCACCAGGAAGTCACAGTCAGGCAAAGATCTTCCGTGCAACATCCGAACCCGACACACTTACCATGTGTTAAACAGATGGAAATATAGGATCAAAGTGCAAGAGCGGGAGGAGAGCGCTCTTGATCGAGCCAGGAGCAGCACGGAAAGCGAGGAGGAGGAGGAGGAAGGATGGGAGCTCTCGCTTCACATTGGATGGGATGTAGAAAGACTCACTGCAGGTGCCAAATCCGTACTGCTCGTACACAACCACCACCGCGACAACACCCAAGCGGTGACCCTTCAAAGTCCCGTCCCTTCGAAGACCTGCTTCGCCATCCCTTCAGAACTGCTTTACAAAGACAACGTTCTTTTACCTCCTGAAAACACCTGGAACATTTCCAAGGCTCCACAACCAACAAGACACGGAGGGAACAAAGACGGGGGTTTACAACAGGAAGGAACTGCCAACTCTCTTTAATAGTACATCACTCTGTCTAGCAGAGAGGCCAGCAAAGCTCAAACCTTGCCGTATCCATCAAGAATTATACAGCATTTTACAACTTTTAGAGCACTGTACAAACATGACTGCAAGGTCGCAGCTCTCAAGCTTTGCTAAACACACAAATTGGTCACACTTCACCACCAGCTGCACGTTCGTTTCCTCTTTTGGTACCTCACAGCTCTTCAAAGGATTCTTCAGTTTCGGCTTCAGGTGATGCCGGACGCTGTCACAGCATCTTCAGCCAACGTCTTGCACTTTGCACAAAAGCACTTTCCACAGCGTGACGCTGGGAGGAGTCCTCTTGCCATCGCCGGTAAATCGCACGGAAACCCAAGCGCGTTTTATCTTCACCAACACAGTTGGCATTTTCAACGATGTTCCAGTAATTCGGAGGTTACTGCCACAGCAAAATGTTTTTTTTTTAGGCAGATACAAAGTTCTAAACTACTCAGTGTTAAATCAAATTCACTCACTGCATCCGAAACTTGGTGCCTCGTGTACATTCATAAACACAACGTGAGCTGTGCCCTGCTCTTCCTAAGGTTCTGCCTTGCAACAGATGGTCGTCAGCAACAGTTTATCTCCCTTCGCCCCCAAACCTGCCCACGTGGCACCCTTTGGTGGGACAGGGACACCGGGAGAAGGGGACAGCAGAAACCCTCAAAGCTCGCGGCCGCTGCAGCCGCGTGGAACGAGGCTTATCCAGGATGTCTAGAAAAACGTTCGTGCCATTTCTTGAATCGGTGTCTGGGATTTGTGAAGGAGGAAAAAACACAGCTAGAAATGCAACAATTTAAACTAACACAGTGTGAAGTCAGCCTCTTACGTTAAAGCAGACAAGACATCATTACTAAGCTACACCTTTCCTGTCCCCTTCGGGTGACGATGCTCGTCTCCTTTTAGTCTCTGAACCTCTGAATCCACCTTGACGACCCACAGGTCTCCAGTTTGGCTCTTACCGGAGCCAGTGAAGGGTTACGGGCAACAGGCACTGAACTGTCACAGTCCAAGGGAGGTCGGTCTTCGTCAGAGACCGTGGAAGCTCACGTTGTGATCAACTCCAAGCCCTCGACTCCGTTCCAGACACGCCGATATCGCAGGAAAGCACAACGTGCCGTTATTCCGAGCCGGCAGCTGATCAGAGAACTCCATCGAGTTGTCAAGGTGCTCCCAGACTTATCCGGCCCAGCGCTGCCTGCGGGGTGCCGACCCAACTCCATTCCATCAGCTGTTGCTTAAACACACTGTTGATCAAATACTCAGAATAGGATAAGAGCATCCTTTTATCCCAACGGAGCAGCTGCACATATCAGTCCGTTCGAGACCAAGAGACGGTTAGAATGTAAGAGCAACAAAACCAACACACCTTTCACTTGAATTCTCCATGACCACTGATGCATGAGATAACGTACGGTGCCGAATGACCGTGGCCCTCACAGAACAGACCAAAAGAATAATAGATCAAGTTGACAACACATTTGCTAAGACCAACATAACCCTAAATGATGCCCATGATTTTTTTTTTTTTTTTCTAGTGCAGTGCCAGCTTCAGAATATTTGAGAAAAATAGTGAGGCCCCACACTCATGGCTCGACTGGGCACATCCAAAGAAGAGTTAAACCACTTGTAATATGCCAATGGTACATGAATGGGAAAGCCTAAACCACTGTGGGGTTCCGTAACGACCCACGTCTCCCACCCAGGCTCCCATAGATGGATCTGGCTGAGTAGGTAACAGATTCAACAAAACCTGTGGAAGTGACAGTGTATATTTTGAGAAAGGAGGAACTAAGGTTATACTACACCATTTACTGATTTGTTCCACCACTGCTCCGTAAGTTTTACGGCATAAATAAAAAAAAAAATGGAGAGAAGAAAAAAAAATAAATACATTGGCTCCTATGAAGTCAGAAGTGGTTTGGGCTGCATAGTGGAGGGGTGAGAGATGGGGGCAAGGGGCAAAATTTACACACTTTGAGACAAAACAGGAAGTGCCTGCAAAGTAGTAGAGGAGGAAGCCAAGAGTTTAAGTGTCCTCATTCATATCCTGGCTGTCTGTCCGAGCGATTTTCCGTGGCGGCGCCGAATTCTCACCTTCTATTTCCACTTGTTCTTGATCTCTCTTCTTCGCTGCGTTCTGTTTGGACAGAGAAAGCTACAGTGAAACTCTCCAAAGCCTTAGATTCTCGTGGGCGCTGGCGTCGGGAGAACAAGTTTTTGTGTAAAAGTTTCGGATGGAATATAGTGCTGGGATGACCTAACTGACACGCTGAAGCAAACACCAAAGAGGGTTTTGCCCAAAGCCAGAAGATGCTCCTTCTAGATTGTTCTTCCGATTTGAGGGTGGGACGAAACCACCATCGATATCAGCACCTTTTATTTATAGATCTCAAATATTGCATAAACACGAGTAAGATCCTCTTTCCCACTGCTCTGAGTCAGTCCCTGAACTTATCAAAATCTCCCAAACCCTTCTGTCACATACAAATACTTTCTCTTCAGCTTCAAGGTTGCTTGTAATTTTGCCTCTCTCCACTACCTCTGCTCTGCCCATGACCACACTCACACTTCGACTTCTCCACTCCCAAGTCAACACGTTGTTCCGAGTACTTCCAGCCCAGGTATCCTGGTTTCCTAGTCTCAACCACTACCTCAAGCACGCTGATTTAGGTGTTCTTCACACAGGCACTCAGATGTTTACCCAAGGTACTTACACAGCATTCATGCTCCGAGCACGCTGATTTGGGTGTTCTTCACACAGGCACTCAGATGTTGTACCCAAGGTACTTACACAGCATTCATGCTCTGCACGAGCTCATCTGTCTTCTCCTAACAGTCCTGGGAGGTGAGAGCAGTTTTACCCGAGCTGTAAAGCACAGGCTGAGGCACAGGGAGACCGATTTGCCAAGGTCACAAAGGAAAACTGCAGTAAGTTGGAGATGTACCTGCAGTCTCCCAAGTTCTAGACTAAACACTGAGTTCATGTCTCTTGCATCGAAACGGAAAAAAAAAGTCATTTTTTTAAAAGGAAGCGTTATGCAGAGACAGAGCCTCCTTGTGCTATCTTTCGCTAAAGTGCGAGTCGCACTTTCTTTTAATTAACCTTTGATACTTTGTGATTAATATTCAGGTCAGTTAGGCTGAGTCAGCAATTCAAGACAAAATGTTAGTATTAAGAAAACACAACCGTACCTTTTTGTCCCACTGCTGGTGTAAATAACGCAAAAGTATATTCGTCTTTTCTGTTACTATGACTGCCAGAAAAAAAAGAGAGAGAGAAACACACTGAGGTCATTTTAAAGAAGACTTTTGAGATGGTGCAGTGATCACCCACGTACTTTGCAGGCTAAACAGGATTTTTTTTTAAAAAAGGACAGCAGGCAGCAATACCCATCGCTCCGCAAGGGCAGAGGAAAAGCACAAAACCCAGTACCCAGACCCACACTGCTAATCACAGTTCAATCATGTCACCTGATCTGAAGTTCAAAATAAGGGAGATTATTTAATATTAGAACAGAAGAAAGTTACTAAAAACCTCAAACTTTAGCAGGGCAGACTTACTTTGTTCAGATGGATATTCTCTCGTGGGAAGATATACGGATGGTCTTCTGTTCTGTAGAAGAAGGAGCACGGTTACAGGATGGAGACAGCAAAAAGGTGGGTTTCCCCCCAAGCACGGGGAAACGAACCACAGGCCCCATTAAGGTGGGCTACAAACGCATCGTGATACCCTGCCCTGTTCCGTGACACGGTGCTGCTACAGCTTTTTAACACACAACACAAAGAAGAAAATCCATTTTTCACATGTTTTTCAGGTCATACGACTACTTTTACAGATACACATAAAGAAAGCACCACAGATGTGGTTTGGCTGATGTGAAGACAAATTCCTTTACCAAAGCAAGCGGGAAGTTTTCCTTGCCAGTCTCATGAACTATCAGCTGCGATCATACACATTTTTCAAGAAACAAAATACTCATTTTATAAGTCGATTTCCCTCTGGCATCCTTTAAGCTGTGCAAGAAAACGTTCCCCCACAGCACCAGGACGTGGCAATACTTACTGATGCTTTACATACGGAGTCGGCATGGAATCTGCTGAAGTTGCTTTTGTTGTAGACCGGTAATCCTTTCAAAAAATCTGCCTGAAAAGACATGGAATACAAACGGAGAAGCAGGTGAGGAAGGAAAGAGGGATATTCTGTTTGCTTAGTCCTGACTCTTGCTCCTCGGGATAAACAACTGCAGGAGCTGAAGGATGCTGCCAGGCCCCAGCTGGTGAGACGGCTGCTGGATGCTGAAACCCACCCAAAAATTGGCTTTGTACAGTAAGCCAACCCCCAGCTTCTGGTTCGTTATATCCCCAAAGTTCAGTAATTCAGTTAAAATCACGCTAATTAAATATCTTTGGCCACGCAGGTGATTAAAAAGAGGTGTGTGTGCAATCGGGCGAGTTCTAAGGGAAGATCTCGGTAATTTACCAGCACAAACCACAGCATCACCCCAGAAACCCTGCCACGGCTACGCCGATGCCTCAAGTCCTTGAACCTCACACCAGCTCAAACCAGTCGCTCTTTCACTTTCCCAGTTAATGTTCCTTGTCACAGACCACGGCTGGCTCCACGGAGCAACGAAAGCCTACACAGCCTCAAAAGCCAAATCTTCATCACACACTTATCGGCCTGGCCCAACTTGATCTTTTTTTGAAGGATCGCATCCCTACGCACGTCAAGAATGCTGGTACATCCCAAAAAACACAAATCCCAAGTCTTGATGGAAGAGGTTAGATCACTGCTCCCAACAAAACTGGTGACTGCACAAGGCCAGCGATGCTGGAACCCCGCAGAGCCCTCTCAGCTTGATTAAACCTCAATTAAGCGTGAAACAGGAATTTCTTTCTCCAAAGTGGGAAAAGGAGGGTGGGAGGAGAACACTACTGGGTCAGGAGAAAACCGAGCTTAAAAGCGTGTTGGAGCCCCTCTGCTCACAGCAGAGACACAAAGGTGCCCAGCAATGTCTTTAAGGTAAAAGAGAAAAGGGGTGATAAACGTAAAATGGACCTGTGTGACCTTGCAGCCTTCCAGGACCTAAAGGGGCTACAGGAAAGCTGGAGAGGGGCTTTTTACAAGGGCGTGTAGTGACAGGACAAGGGTCGATGGCTTTAAACTGAAAGAGGGGAGATTTATATTAGATCTAAGGCAGAAATTTTTCCCTCTGAGGGTGGTGAGGCACTGGCACAGGTTGCCCAGAGAAGTTGTGGCTGCCCCATCCCTGGAAGTGCTCAAGGCCAGGTTGGATGAGGCTTTGGGCAACCTGGTGTAGTGGAGGGTGTCTCTGCCCATGGCAGGGGGGTTGGAACTGGATGGTCTTTGAGGTCCCTTCCAACCCAAACCATTCTGTGATTCTATGACAAGCAGAGGGGAGAGGTGCCCTGAGATGGCCCTTCTCAGCCAGCAGACCAGCTGCCTGTATCCAAACGACACTTCCCTAAAGATCCAAACTCTGTCACGCTGAGGGATTCTACTCCAGGACACACATCACCTTCTCTATAAGCAATTTTAAAAGGACAGTAAAGCAGCAGATGAGAAATCATTTAATTTCTGATCCTGCTGCCACAAAACTGCCAGGCTATAAGGCACTGTTTCCATTTAAATAGAGGCCATTATTTTTCTTAACGCCGCATCTTGACTTCAAAACAAAGAGCTACAATCAGCCAAACCAGAAAATATTATTCATACTTTTGTTCTTAACGAGAACTCTACTGACACACTGGTTTCCACATTGAGCCCTTCCCATAGGCCTGGTTTTAGAAATAATGTTGGTAAAAACCCTGCAAATCCAATGCAAAGTAACCTGCTCCACTACACCGTCCCAATCCAGAGAGACGGACGTGTCCCTGATTTCTTTTATTGTGTAAACGCCTGACAGCTACTTGGTTTTATTACCACTTGTAAGAATGGAAAATAACTGCTCTTGTTTAGGAGCACATGACAGGAAGCACCTCTTCAACAAGCTCCAGCTCACCCCGAGTTCCTCACACCAGACTATTCCTTACTTTCCAGATGAGGATTAGGTCTGGCAGAGCCCGGGCTTCCCTGGAAAGAGGCTGGACAAGCGGGATGACAGCTCTCACCAGGGATTCCACAGTCTTTTAACAGACTTTTATAGCCGAGCGAGTTACGTCGAGTAAGTTGCAAAAACACTGTTAAAATTCTCAGTCGAAAAGCAATTTAAATGGTCAATGTGGGGTTTGCCCCCCCCCCCCAACATAAACAGCTGAAGCAGGATGCAAACCAGCGAAGTGCAGGCTTGCAAGCAGGAAGGAGTGTTATCTACACTCAGACAACACCTGGAGACCTCAGCTCCAACAGCCACGAGCAGCCCTGGCTCACGGCCACCACCTTTCTGTAACTTAGCCAGAGCGGAACCACAGGGACACTGGGCAGGTGGGACAGATGTTTCTCCAACCCAGGCTCCAGCGTGGGAGCGTGAAGCACTCGTCACCAGTTCAGCTGAAGAGTCTGGCTGTCAGTGACACAGACCACCCCTCCGATAACCACAACCCTGCTACATACACACAGAGATCACCACAAAGACCCCCTCGGGGGAATGGCTTGGAGTCGTGTTCCTGGATATTCAGAATTAGACACTGCTCCAAGTGCAGTGATCCTTATCTGCACTAAGGGCACCAGATAAATAAGCCCTGGCTGCCACGTTTACACACCCATGGCACAAGGCACACCGACTCACACCGCCCCTGGAATGGCACAGGGGGAAATGTCCCCCTGTGTGCCTTCTGCCACTCTTTAACCCAAGCCAGTGCACCCCCACCAAGCCAGCGAAGCTGACGGAGCGTCCTGCGTGGAAAACAAAATCCAGCACCCAAACTGAGCAGGTGCTTCACTTCCTCTGGGGAAAGTCAAACCCAAAAACACAACAAAACATCTCGATTATGCAATGTCGGAAGACAACACTGCTTCCTTCTATGATCTGGGAAGTGAGGTAGAGATAAGATGCATCTACTGTTCCTGTGTCAACACGGGTGCTCGGCTTCCTCGGGAGATGGCAGTCCTCATCTAAAAGCAGAAAGACAAAAAAAAAAAAAAAACACGTACCCGTGCCCTATTCTTAGCTTTTGAAAGGAACTGCGGTAACGACGTGCAGCAAGACAAGGCTCAGCACACAGACGCTGGAGGCAGGGCTCCATCCCAGCAAGATGTGCGCACACGTGGACGTGGGTTGGAGGAAAACCACTAACACAGGCTTGGGAACGGCCACAGTACACCAGTACACGGAGACCACAGGGACATCACTGTCTTTCCCTTAGTTACTGAGCTTGCAGAAGGAAAACTCTTTTTCTCCACAAATTATTACATCGCTACAAAGGGAGGGAGGGGGGCTGGAAGGCTCTTGGCTACGACAGCTGACACCAACCACTCAGGCACCAGCCCTGGTGCCTGTTGCTGCTTAGGGGGCACAGAAATGAAGCACCCCACACCCCCGAGGTGCCCCAATTTCCCCTTTCCGCACCCCAGCCTTGGGGGTGGACGGAACACCCCACATCCTGGCAGCACCCCAGCCCTCCATCCCTGAGGACAGGGAAAACCCCACGCC